GAAATTCTGTTGCTTGTTATGCTGAACATGATTGGTGAAAAGACGAAAGATCTGCCACATTAAGGTACACCATTGAAGTGGTTGATTTTTAACGTTACAAAAAAATCTTAGGTATCAACAACAAAAATAAGTTTAGTTGAATGATATAATTTGTCTGCAAAATATACACCTTGAGAAAAGCGGGAAAGTAATCACTGATAAATGTTGCCACTGCAGAGCAAGTAAAGTTCAAGATTACGTACACATTCTATGTAGGCCTTTGTGTTTTGTGACTCCATGACTCACTGAATCCTGTTCACCCCTTCACCCCTTCACGGCGGGATTATTTTGACCGTGATTGCTGGCTGTGGTATGCCCTGAATGGAGGGCCTTGTCCAGCAGCAGGCCCCATTGAACCAGCAGCTGCATGGTGAATAGACTGTATGTGTGGTATGCACGAATCCTCACACATTGTTGTGGTAGTAGCAGTCCTCCATAGCGAGGGAGTTAATAACTCAAAATCTGAGCAACTCAAAATTTTATTTATTCTCCAAGGTTTGAGTTATCAGATGCAAGTGGCAACCACGAAAACATGACTGTGACACCAGCACCCGGTACATGTGTACACGCTGTGGCTTTTGTGACTGATTTTATCCTTCAAAGTTTGCCGTATAAGCCGCCCAGCATACAAGCCACTGAGACATTTTTCAAATTCAGTGTGAGAATCAACGTAAATGTATAAGCCACGGCTTTTATTCCAAAAATTACAGTAAATGATACTGTTCAGAGAATAACTCTAAATTATTAATAAAAAGTTAAAACATAATTATTCAGGGTTCATAACGTACAAAGTATTTGAAAAGGTTTGCTGCCATTTGCTTTTGTCAGAACTTCAGGTACACAATTCGACTGTGTGATGAAGACAAGATCATCAGCTCTATCCCAAGTCATGAACTTACGTAAGTTAGATTATTCTCCTTGAATATGGGTTTCTGGTTTTTTATTCACTGAATCTAACCAGCATCTGTTAAAAAATATTCATGAATTGTTGATCCAGACAGTCCTGTTGGCTGAGTAGCAGAGACATTAGCATGTTGTGAATCATACTAAAGGAAACTTTGATATTTCTTCCAGACAGCACTGAGTGTTGATTATATTGTAAAGGGCAACAGTTGGTATTAAACTTCTCCACAGATATGCCAAATTTTAACCACTACCAGCCGGGGA